TGGAAGGGATCGGGACAGGGCCCAGGTGGGTCTAAGGGATGGGAGGGGTGTTCTGATTGCTCCATGGAGACCCGCTGCAGTCACAGAAGCAGCCTGCAGGTCAGGGAGAGCCCCAAGCCCCAGAGCTGCGATGGGGCCTTCTGCAGATGCTCCTGAGGCCCTGTGGGCCCTGGACCAACCAGCCAGCCCGACCATGCCTCCCAGTGGTGCCCGGCCCTTGGGGGTGCCCAGGGCCACTCTGCAGTCACATCTTAGCTCCAGGCTCCTGCACCTTCATCTTTCCCCCAAGCCTGCAGGGTGGGGAGCGGAGGCTGATGTTTATGGAGCCCAGCACGGGCTGCTATGCCAGCTGGATTCAGAGGACCCTGCTTGTTTGGTTCATAGGTGCTGATTGCTCGGCTGTTGGGAGTTTCATGAGCTCATCGGTAGAACTGAAAGTTTATAAATGTGGAGTTAGATTAGCGAGGCTGAAAGCAGGCAAAGGCAGACACCAGGGTCTCGTCGTGGTGTGCGCAAGGGCACTGGGCCCCTTGTGTCCAGGTGGCAGATGTCCCAGGTGGTGACAGCTGCTGGCCAGAGTGAGAGTCGCACTGGGGACTCAGGGTGTCCTCCCGGTGTGAGCCGACTCGTGGTGGTGATGGGGAGGATGCTGACACACAGTGAAGGCTGGCGGAGAGGCTGCTGGGCACAGGGTCAGGGCTGGCAGGGCGTCCTGTGCGGATGTGGGGGTACGGAGGCCCCGAGGCGGCCCAGCCTGCAGGACTGTGGTGGAAACTGGGGGGGGGGGGGCAGTGTCTCCAGGACAGCCTTGAGGTTGGGTGGATCTACATGTGTCCTGAGGCTGGCATTGGGCAGACGGGGATAGCTGAGGGGACAGGGTCACACCCCAGCTCCCCGGGGGCGCAAGGAGTCAGCGCTGTGTGGGCATTCGGGCCCCTGGGTCCCTTCTGTGGGGAGTTAGGGAACAGGAGTGCTGGGGGTCCTGGCCTTCCTTTCCTGTGCAGAATCTGTTGCGTCTCACCCCGCTCAGCTGCCCTCGTTGTCCCTGTCCATCTGACTGGAGTCTCCCCGCCATCCCAGGCCATCTTCCAGAGAGCACCAAGCCATGGCCAGGGACGAAGGGGCGGAGTCTGTTCCAGTTCCCGGCTCCTGGGTGCTGTGGGGGAGGGTTGTCATTCCTGGGAAAGTGGGCGTGGCTTATCTGGGATCCCTGGGCCTGAGGGGTGCAGCCAGGCTGGCTGCAGGGCTGCAGAAGGAAGGTGGCCTCCGCCACGCCACCGCCTGCTTGCTCTTGCCAGTCTCGCGCCGTGAAGGGAAACGAGGGCTTCTGTGGTTCCCAGCCTGGCGGTGGACACTGCCTCCTTTGTGCGTCCAGAGCCATTCAGCGCGTTCACAGCAGCATACTTGGTTGGCTGGACTCTGTCCCACTCTTGAAGACAGGCCAGGGAGCCTGGAGTGCTGAGCTGCAGCAGCAGCAGCACCCCCCCCCCCCGCCCCACAGGTACCACCCTCCCCAGGTCTCTCATGTGGAGCTGGGATGTGTGATTATGGGGTCTTCAACGTGTGCCCCAAAACGGCTGCAGCCCTGAAGCATCTGCTTCCAGAGGGAGGTACAGGGTTGCAGGCTGGGGCATGCAGGTGTTCTCCAGAGGGTTGGTGGTCAGGCTGGAGCCCTGGGCTGCCCAGGGAGGGTCTGATGAGGGACAGCAGGGGCCGCTGGGATGCAGCAGCCTCCAAAGCCCAGAAGACAAAAGCTGGGCCCTGCTGAGAGCAGCCTCGGAGTAGGGCTCAGCCTTGGGCGCCTGGTGGAGCAGCTGGGCTGCCGGCTGAGGAGTTTGCCTTCTCCTATGAATGGTGGGGAATGGGGCTGGACACCTAGAACAGCAGGTACTGTGACACTTGGGCAGGACGATGTGGTGAGGACAGCCCTTGCTCTGGGTCACTCAGTGGGCCCAAGATCCGGTCTCAGGATGCAGGCCTCACAGGCATCCTGGCCTCAGCCTCAGTTTCCCTGTCTGGAAGTTGGGATATGCTGGGTGGCGGGGTCACCCCCACATGTGTGCCCCCTGGGACCTGCCACAGGACCTTCCTGGACACGGTCAGGGATAGGTCACGGGACGAGGTTGTCCTGGCATGGGTGGGATACTGCTCAGCCCAGACAGGGTGCCCTGGATTTGGAGCACCCTCTCTGGACAGGTGTGTGGAAGCACAGCCAGACTGGTGTCCAGGGCCTGCTCGATTGGCATAGAGTTCTGACCCTCCAGGCCATAGTGTAGACATTCGTGCTTTTACGGAACGTGGGGGGTCAGGCCGGCGGCTAGGGAGGGCCCTCCTAGGGCCCCTGCTCCTGGGCTGTGTGTAGGGGTGCCTGCCTGGGCAGGGTCTGCTCAGTGGACACCAGGGGACTCTGGGCACCTTTGTCCCTCTCTGAGTGCAGAGGCCTCATTAGTTCTCTGAAGCTCAAGGAGGTGGGCTGGCCTTGGGGGAAGCGGGATAGCAGGGAGGAGAGCTCCGCGAGGAGCTCCCGTGAGCGGGCAGCGTGCATGGAGGAGCGCAGGGGCTGTGTCCTCTGCTCTGCACAGGTGTGCGTGGCCCCGCCCAGGCGTCCCTCTCCACTCAAGTGTGCACAGCCGCCTGCAGTCTCAGGGTCCTTGTGTTGTTTCTCTGGTGGCCAGAGGGTGGCCGGAGTGAGGTCTCTGCAAGTGCAGGAAGTAGGTTTTTTGTGGCGCTGGGATTTATGTGTCTTCTTTTCCGCCGTTTTCTCCGCGCCTTCTGAGTTAGAGCCACAGAAGTGGTGGTGATCGGCCTGGCGGGGGCAGGGACCTCAGAGTCGATGTCTAATGAGTGTGGTTTGGGCTGTACCTGATGAGATGTTCATGCAGTGTTATCAACTGCACCTTGTAAAGGGAGTGGCTTGGGAAGGCTTTCTTTATCATAACAAAGCAGTTTCTTAAAAAGAGCCCCAGGAAAACGCAGAGCACTGGAGGATACCCTTAAAAGCCACCCTGAGCTGGTGTGCGGCGTGGCACTCTGCATGCCCTGTGCCTCCTCACTCGCCCCTTTGCATGATGAAACACAGGAAGCCACTTTCCAAACTGGAGGGCCTGCAGGAGGCCACAGAGGACGTCACGGAGCCCAGGCCCCGTGCACCAGGGTTTGCGATGAGCGTGGCACCGTCTTCTCTTGCTTCCTGGGACCCTTTCCGGGTACCAGAAGGGCTGTGTGTTGGTTTGGCCCTAGACCCGCATCTCAGGGCGGAACCCCATCAGGGCGTCCGTGTGCGTGCTCAGTCCTCCCGCACACGCAGACCCTGCAGGTGCTGGTTCCTGGCGGCCAGTGCTGGCAGCTGAGGCAGGAGTTAGGATGTGGGTTTGTGGTGTCTCCCAATTTATTCAAACTGCCTCGTAACCAAGATACTCGTCTTCTTATGTCATATTAGCCGCTCACACTTCCTGTTTTAGGTCTCAGTTTTCTTTTAATTTTTATTTTGAGACAGGATTCCACTACGTCACTAGGTTGCCCGGGCTGGGCTCAAACTTGCTGCCATCCTCCTGTCTCAGCCTCCCAGAGAGCTGGAATGACAGGCATGTGCCACCTTGCCTTACTTAACATTTTGCCAAGTGGGAAGTTTTTACATTTGTCCCATTGTCTGTTAGACTTTTTTGCGCTGTGAATTCATTTTTCAGTGTTTTTGTTTGAGACGGGATCCCGCTTTGTAGTTCAGGCCTTGAACTCACTGTGTAGCCCAGGCTGGCCTGGAACTCACATGGGCACCCTCCCGCTTCAGCCTCCGAGCGCTGAGATTGCAGCCACCATGCTTGGCTTGGTCTCTTAACACTGTCTCCTGCCGAGTAGCAAGTTCTCTTTTCTCTCGGTTGGTCTGGTTTTCAGTTTACTGTTCCGTCAGCCCCCCTGGAATTCACAGTTCCTGTATGTGATACTTTTCTACGTGGTAGCCTGTCTTTCCTCCTCGCCCCCTGCAGCACTGCTGACTCCTGGGCTCCTTGGGCTGAGGGGCACTACCTGCTGCCATCCTGCTGCCCTCTCAGCTCTGTGCTGTGGCCCCCAGCAGGAAGCCAAAGCCCCCCCACACCCTCTCCTCCTCCCACAGAAATGGTCGTGGCTTCTGGCTGCAGGCCACATCCCCCACCTGGCATGTGTCAGCTCGGACCCCTAGACCACCCTTGCCTTGTCTGGATCTCTCCTGCTTTGCAGGAGGAAACCCAGTGGGGAGCCAGGGTGTCTGTGCAGGGCACCTGGGGACCTGGAGTCTCACAGCCATCAGGAGGGAGAGGGCCACACCCTGGGCTGCAGCACTAGGCTGAAGCTATGCCGTAGTGACCAGGGCTGGAGCTGGTGGCCCTTGGCCATCTGTCAGTCCCGCTGTGGCCCTGGGTTTGAGATCATGGGGAGGGGCTGTCCTGGTGTAACTAGGTGTGTAAATCCCATTTGTCCAGGTACATGATCTGCTGCCTGGGTTGGAGGAGGAGGCAGGTGGGCCTCAGGCCCCTACTTTGCAGGCCAGGGCTGTGGGGAGTGTGCCCTGCTAGGATCCTGCTCAGACCCGAGGCAGGCTAGGGCCTGGACTGAGTCTGAGGCCAAGCCCGGCAGGACCCCGAGGATGAAACATGGTGCGGAGACCCTAGACAGCATACCTGGGTGTGCGAGCTGTACCTCTGCGGTGTTGGTGACAGCAGGACTTCCGGAGAGTGGTCAGCTCTCCATCCCTCACTCCGTGACCTGTCCCTCACTTACCCTTGGGGGTGAGCCAGATGGTCTGCCAGGGAGCTGGGTGTCCTCCTGCCTGCTGTGGCCTGGGGGCAGGGGCTGCTTTGGCCAAGGTGGAGGAGTCCACAGGTGGCCAGCCTGGTGAGATGGGCCAATGGACAGTGGCCTGGTCTGGTGGGCAAAAGTGGGGTCTGAGGCACTCCATGCTGGCAGGAACTTGGGGATAGGAGCCGTGTGGGACGTGGTGAGTGACCGAGTGCCCTCTCTTGCAGGGAGCCCGCCCGTCATGTCCAGCTGAGGCCCAGGAGCTCGGTGCTGAACATGCTGAGGAGGCTGGACAGGATCAGGTTCAGAGGCCCCAAGAGAGAGGACTGTCTGGACCTCGCGGAGTCGCCCAATGCCTCGGACACCGAGTGCGCTGACGAGCTGCCCCTGAAGATACCTCGGACCTTGCCCCGCGACAGCGAGGAGCTCAGGGACCCTGTGAGTACCCGACCTGAGTGCCCCTGCCGTCCCTGGTGCGCTGGGACTCACCTAGGTTCTCGGTGGCCGAGTCCATTATGGACATGGGTGGACTGCTATCCCCCGGGGCCTAGTGCCCTTCCTTGCCTCGCTCCCCCACCGCCTGCCCACCACCCCTTCAGACTCTCCTGGCCCCTGCTTGACTCTCTCTGTGCCTAGGGGCTGCATCTCTTTTTTTTTTTTTTTTTTGTGGTCTTTCCGTTTTTATCGGTACCAGGGATCGAACTCACGACTGCCTGCTTACAAGGCAGGCGCTTATGCCGCTGAGCTAAATCCCCAGCCCCTGGGGGCTGCATCTCTGCCTTCGCTCTGGCTGACAAACTTCTTGGCTGGAGGTGTCCCCGAGGCCCTGGCCCCACGCTGGGAGCCTACTGCTGGGCAGATTCTGTGTGTCTGACCTTCCGGGTGTGTGTCATTGATGCCACTGACCCCTGACAGCTAGCTGGGCACTGCACCTCAGCCGGACTGGGTGAAGGGTGCTGCCTCCTGGAAGGGATGTTTCATAAGTGAGCAGAGCAGGAGGGAAGGGCGCTGTGTGCCCGTGTCATCTTCCTGGTAACTCAGAGCCGCCCTACACAGCCACGGGCACCCTGCACCACGTGCCAGTCCCTCTTGGTGGCCCATGGGGTTTTCTCGCCGCCCGAGCCAGGTTTTTATCCCAAATGTGGCTGAATCACTCTCCTTCCCTGCTCCTCCTGTATTATTCATGCTCCGTAATAGGGCCGTGAGTGCGTGCGGTTCCTGGCAGAAATGAATAATTCACTGGTGCTGCCCCTGACAGCCTGCCCCCCCCCCATGCTGCCCACCTGGCTGTGGGTGGGGCCGCCGAGTTTCCTGCACCAGGCCTGTCTTGTGGTGTGACGCCAACACCCGTATCCTGTAGCCCCTGCCCTGTGTTGCCCTGTGCAGGTGCTGTCCCAGGGTGGCTGTCGTGTTTGCCGCATGGCCATCCCTTGCCCTATGAGTTGCACTGGTTGGTTGGGTGAGCAGGCAGCATGCTGGGCCTCTAAGCTCCTTTCCTGTCGTTGATCCCAGGGACCTTGTGCTGCCCTGGCTGATGTGCTGGGGACAGGGTGGTGCTGTCCAACCCAGTTTCTTCTGCCACCATGAAGATGGCCATTTGTTGCAGGCCCCAGAACCAGCCCTGTCCAGGGCTTTTGAGCTGGACACTTTGCTTCTAGAGGGACACACAGAGTTCCAGGGTGTCAGTGCCATCCCATGGCCTGGGCAGCTCCTTGGTGGGGCCCTTGTCCCCACCTGACAGATGAGGAAACTGAGGGTCCAGGTGGTTCTTATGGCTCCCAGCCAGCAGCTGAGCCAGGCTGGTTTGAGGTGCAGGTTCTAGCCTCAGGGCTGCTGCTCCTGCCCACCTCCTGCCCGGCCCAGCCCTCCTCTAGCCCCCTGCTCTGTTTTCTGTCTCCTGAGCATGGGCGGCACTGTTTTGGTTTGGGCATAGAGATAGTACTCATGGGTGCTGGGTCGCTCTCCTGCGCTCCCATGGAGCCCCCTTCATGGTAAAGGCAGCGGCTTCGAGTAGAGGACCAGCTCCTGCCCTGGCCTGCTTCCTGTGTCCGGGGCCTCTCTGCTGAAGGCCCTGCAGCCCAGGGCTCCGGCTGTCCACTCCCTCTCCCAGGAGTTGCGGTCCCTACTTTGGATGTGAGCCTTGATGATCCAGGTCCAGGCCACTGGCTCCAGGGGTCCCTGGCCCTGCCTTGTCACTAGAAGAGGGGCCCTTCCTTCTGCACGCCACCTTTGGAGCTCCAGGGACCCCTCTCAGCAGCGGTGACCGGCAGGCCTGGTGCATGGGGAGGGCGCCTTCTGTCTGGTGTGTGCCAGGTTCCTGGTTCTGTGCAGCTTTCTGGGTTAGGTGATGCCTGGTACTCATCTCACACCTGGACACCTCCTGGGCAGGTCAGGGCAGGGAGGGCAGGGCCTGACAATCCTGCGTGGCCCCTGCCCACTGTCAGGCCATCCTCCAGCTGCCCACTTAGGTCACCTGCAAGGTCTCTCTGCAGATGGTGAGCACAGGGGTGGCCCTCGGGCTGTGCACCTGCAGATTTCTAAACCAGGAAGAGCAGGTAGGTATCAAGGGCACGGTCCCCGGTCCCCGGCAGGCAGGGCTTGCGAAGGGCAGGCTGAGCTGGAGGGTGGCAGGACTGTGCGGTGCTCCCAGGGCGGGGAAGGAGGCTGTGAGCTGCCTGGGCTGCAGGATTGAATTTCCATTCAACATTGATGACCTCCTTCTCCATGCTGGGGACGGGGTGGCTCCGTGAGACTTGCCCGCAGAGGGCAGGGGAGAAGTCTCCAGAAGGCCCAGGGGACCATGTGTCCACCTGCTCAGGATGGAGCGGGTCACCCACCAGGAGGCCGCAGCTGCCCAGGGTGCTCTGAGGCTGAGTGGGTTGGTGGTGGCCTGAAGTTTGCTCGGGAATTAAAATCACGCTTTGCATAGCAGGCATCCCAGGCGCCCCAGCACGCTTTAACCCGACAGTGTGTCTGCCAGCCGCGTGCCCTGTGCGGAGGACCATGGCCACCTCCTGACTGTTGTGGCCTATGTGGCCTGTCCCTGTGTGGGGGGCGGATGTCAGGCATTTGAGCTTCTGACTTTGTTTTGTGTTTTGTTTTGTTTTCCTTTTTTGCAGTCCCGGGGCTTGAATACACGGCCTTTGCACTGAGCTATATCCTGGGCCCCTTTTCTTTAAATGTTTACTTTTTGAGACAGGGTCTCACTGGGTCACTAAGTAGCTCGCTCTACCCACCCTGCATATGGGGGCGGTGGGCACTGCCCCTGCTGCCTGCTCAGGTCTCAGTGGCCTTTGCCAGGTGCTCCAAGCACATCAGGCTGGCTGTGTTGGGGCCACCTGTGCACAGGTGTTTAGATGTTCTGCCTTGTGGTTCCAAGGTAACACCTGCCTAGCGCCACCCCTGCATCCACAGCTTCCTCCGGCTCAGGCCACAACACGGACCAGGGTCACCTCTGTGTGGACCGTAGTGTGAGTGGGCTCATGTGCCTCCCTCCCGGCCCTGTTGTGCCTTGGTTCTTGGGACAGTGGGCAGGAGATACAGGGTACCAGGGCACACTGGGCTCCTAGCACCAGGCTCTGCTGGCCTCCTAGACCAGGTGCCTGTATCTGGTCCTCCCGGGTCAGCATTTGAGCACCCCAGTTGGTACCCAGGGGAGACAAAGTCACCTGCTTTCAGCCCTCCCCACTGCATCTTCCTGATGCTGGTGCCAGGCTCCAGGAGGCGGCAGGTAACAGGCCTGGCCCCTCCCCCCCAGCCTGTGTCCCGTAGCCAGACGAGCTGACAGTGCAGAAGGGCAGGTCCCCAGGGCCTTGCTCAGAGCTGCTGGTTCCCATCAGCCCCTTCTCCAGACTGTGGCCTCTGAGCAGGTGACAGTGTTGGGGAGGTGACAGTGTCAGGAGTGTCCACTGTGCTACTCCCAGACTGAGCATGGGTCCTGTTTCACCAGCCCTACCCTGGAGGAGGAGGTGTGAGGCCTAGGCAAGGCGGTTGTCGGTCCCAGTCCCCGGCAGGGACTCCCATGAATTTTCTCGCTGGGCAGCAGCTGTGGAGGGTGACCAGTGAGTGCCCTGCATAGCCCCGCAGGCCTCTCTCCTTTCCCTCGGGTCAGCAGGGTGCAGAGTGGTTGCTGTGCCCACCTCCTGGGCGTATAGCCTGTAACCGGAGCCTGTGGGGACAGGACGGTGGCTTAATGAGCCTCTGTGGAGGGGACGGGAGGTGGCTGTCCCTGACTCCCCTCTGCCCTCTGCCTGGGAGCTGCGTCCCTTCCTGTAGCCACACTCGTGGCCCCAGGTCCGATTGTGCAGCTGTCACGCTCTGGCTGGGTGGCAGAGTCCTAGGCACAGGGGCCAGTGTGGCTGCCCGCTCTCTCCTTTCTGTAGCCCAGGGTCGGTGCTGCGACAGACTGCTGGGCCTTGCTTACGAAGTTTCATTTCCCTGTTACCTCTTCGCGTGGGTCCCCCTGGTGCCGCGGGGTCTACCCAGAGCGAGGTCCTGAGTGGGGTGCTGGGAGTCTGACAGCAGAGCTCTGCCATTTTCCTGCCAGGGGTTCTGGTGGCACAGCAGGGACCTGGGGCCTGCTGTCTCGGGCATTGGACACCGAGGATCTGCCTGGTAGGGACCCAGGCTGCTTCTGCACGGCCCCCTGAGCTCCCCGTGTTTCCCTTCCAGGCTGGCCCAGGGACCCTCATCATGGCCACGGGCCCCCAGGACTTCAACCGCACGGAGTTCGATCGTCTGAACGAGATCAAGGGTCACCTGGAAATCGCCTTGCTGGAGAAGCATTTCCTTCGTGAGTCCCGGGAAGCACCAGGGAAGCAGCCTGCAGGGGTGGGGCAGAGGCGGGACGTCGCGTTGTCCAGGCATGCCCAGAGCTTTTCCTCTGGGTGCGGGCTGGGGACAGATGTGGCTCGGAAGTCAGGAGGTCCCCACTTGCCCTCGGGTTCCTGCAGCTGCGTCTCCCATCTGCTGCTCCCCAGGCTGGAGGGGGACAGAAGGGATGAAGCCTCTCCCTGAACATCACGAGTTTAGCAAGTCTGGCGTGGTGTGGGTTTAATGGTTAGCTCGGCATTTTGAAGGGTCTTCTGAAGGCGTCCGACATTGCGTGTCCCTTGTGCACAGGAGAGGTGCTGGCCCCTGGCCTGTCCTCGGCCCCTGGGGGGTGACGGCCCTGTGGAGCCTGGCAGGGCCCCTGCGACATCTTGCTCTGATCCTCTCTCCTCTTCTCCATGTCCTCGGTTTCACAGGAGAGGAAACTGAGGCACACAGGACTGAAGTCACCTGCAGTTGGGTGACATCCTCTGAGTAGTAAGGGCTGAGCGGGGAGCCCAGCTGCACCCATGGGGCCCCACTATGTGACACCTTGTAGAGTGACATTTGGCAGGAGGTAGCCTGGGCCCTGTGCACCCAGTGGGGAGCAGAGTCGGCCTGAGGAAGGGGTCCTTGGGCCTTGAAACCCTTGGCCTGGGGCCCTCTGGCGGGTCACCTCCCCCAGGCATCCTGCACAGCTCTGGTCCCCTGATGTTCTGACCCAGCAGCCTTGGCCTTGACCCAGGGTCACCGGCCTGCGTTCTGTCCCTTGTTGCTCTCTCCCATCCCGGGCCTGCACGGGCTCAGTGGGACGTGAGCTCGCTTGGCATGATGCGTGTTTTCCATCTGGTGTCATGCAGGGTGCAGGGCTGGGACAGCGCAGCAGACAGCAGTTCTGGGGCTCCGCTGGCCACCCCTGCATGCTGGGGGCCGGGCTGGCTCTCACCCTGACTGCTGCTCCAGGGTGGGGGTCGGCACCTGGCCCATGAGTTCACCTGGCAGCAGACCAGAGGGCAGCGTGAGACCTGTGCATGCGAGTGCCTGCCATTTGGGATGGCCTGGGATGGCGGACAGAGGGGGCCGCAGAGGCCCAGAGGCCCCTTCTGTCCTCGGTCCCCCCGGGGGTGTCTTGTCCTGTTCCCTGGTAGCTCCTGAAGTGGGGTGCAGAGTCCAGCCCAGTGGCAGTTAGGGCAGTGTTTGGTTTTTGTTCTCTGCAGTGCTGGAGGTCAAACCCAGGGGTCCCTACCACGAAGCTTCGTCCCCAGCCTTTGATTTTATTTTGAGACAGGGCTCCCGTAGTTTCCCAGGCTGGACTTGAACGAGTGGCCCTCTTGTCTCCGCCTCCTGAATACCGGGATTATAGGCGACCTAGTAGTATTTTTAATTATGGAATTATTTCAGTTGTGCCCAGCAATCCAGCAAATAACGCCTGGAGCTCTCTTTTCGAGGCAGTGTCCGTTTTGACAGGAACCGACCTGGGCCAGGCTGGCTTCCTCTTCCCCTCCCTCCCTGGGCATTTCGGAACAACCCAGCCGGCATCCTGTTGTTCCATCGGTGAATATTTTAGTAGGTAGCTCTGCGTGTTTTACAGCAAAGGCTGAGTCCAGCACCCTATGAATCCCCGTCCTCCTGTCTCCCTGAGGCAGGGATTTGGTACACGAGTAGATTCTCACTGAGATCAAGACCCCAACAGTGGCAGCAGGTCATCTTTTCCCTGAGGACTACAGGATGGCCGTCTCCGGCCTGTGCCATCGCGACCCTCCCAGAACAGGCCTCCCTTTGCCAGCTGCTTGGTGACCCCGAGCTCTGGTCCCCACAGGAAAGGCGGGCTGTGCTTGAGAGCTTCCCCCTGATTTCTCTGGTTTCAGAGACCCCATTCACTCCTGCACTGGAGCCAGGGAGGGCGTGGCCTCTTGTGGATTTATGATGTTGTCAGATCTCAGATTTGAGTTTATTTGAAGTGTCTTAATCCTGGGATCCTTATCTACTGGGCTTCCGAAGTGTCCAGCAGTGTTTCCGAGTCCCCGTCCTGGCGTGGCGAGATATTCAGGCCCCAAGCCCACGCTCCCTGCCCAGGCCTGGGTAGGCCGTTAGCACGGCCACACTGGCTCCCACCGAGAGGACGCGACCCAGGCCCTCACTGCACTTCGCCGTGGTGCCCGGCAGTCAGCAGAGTATTGGACAGGAGGTCACCCCCTGGCCTGGCTTCTGCTCAGCCTCAGAAAGCTTCCACCCTGCTTTGCTCGTGAAATCCTGGTTTGCAGAGCGACTCCAGCATCACTCATCGGTCGTGTCCCTCGGAAGCTCGCACAGTCTCAGGGTAAAATCCCAGGCCTGCCGCCAGCTGGGGCTGGAAGCAGCCGGCTGCACTCCTGGTTCTCCATCCTTAGGGGGTGCCCCGTGAGAGGAGGAGGCAGGAATCCCCACATTAAAGTCGCCAGCAGGGGCCCTTCCTGCCTGCGTCACCAGGGAGCCGTCTGCGCGCCGGCTTCTCCGCAGACTTGGACAGCGCCCTGGTTTCTCCTGCCTTTCAGGCTCACCAGGAACGGCTGAATGTCCCATCCGGGCGCTCCTCCAGGGTTAAAATTTTGTCCTGTCTGACTGCCTCTTTTTCTTACCACCTGCCTGTCCTCCCCCACCTGTCTGTCTGTCTGTCTGCCCATGCACTTGCAGTTCTGTGTTTCCTAAGAGCTGCACAGTCCTATCTGACTGCGGTGTGGCTATCAGAGACCAGGAAATCAGTGCGGCTGCCGAGCACCACCTGTCTCGCCTTACGGCCATGTCATGGTGGCGGAGGAAAGTTTCGAGTCCCGAGCAGTGTCCGGTTCTCCTCAGCCCCCTCTCTTCCTCTGCTGGAGACGGCCCGGCTGTCGCGTCTGCTGGTGTCCATGTGGGAAGGGGGTGGGCTGGTCATCCTGAAGAACCAGCCTGCTGGCTTTGTGTTCTGCTGCCTTGTGCAGAGACCTGGGCTGTGACGTTTTGTCTGCTGTGTCACTGGTGGCAGCCTGACCGCAGTGAGGTCATCTTATCCCATTACACACAGCAGGAGTTGCTTGTAAAGCTAAATGCTTTTTGATTTTGGGGACCATTTTTTGAGACAGGGTCGGTCTCTGTAGCCTAGACTGGCCTCAAACTCTCGGCAGTCCTCCTGCCTTAGCTCCCTGAGGGCTGGGATTACAGGTGTGCGCCACCACATCCAGTTTAAAATTAAATTCTTATAGCTGTCTAAATTGTTTACTGTGGTGTATATCTGTAATCCTAGCTACTCAGGAGGCTGAGGCAGGAGAATTGCTTCAAGAGTGGCCTGGGCAGCTCGGTAAGACCCTGTGTCAAAGATAAATAAATAAAACAGAATTGTTCACGTGGCCCCAAGGACAAGGTGTATTCAGAGAGCGCGAGCTGTTCTCCCCGCACCCAGCACCTCTCCTTCCCTGCCTCTGTGGAAGACCAGTTTCCTTTTCATTTTATACTGATTCCACTGACTTTCAGATAGGAGCAGACGTGCCCTTTTTTTTTCTGTTTATCCCCACACTCTTCACATTTGCATTACACCCCGGCGGCCACGCCTCGGTGCTGCCTGGTTTACTTCTGTGTCCACAGCACGGCCAGGGGTGGCCTGTCAATAGGCAGAGACGCTGTCCCCAGCCTGTCCTGCCAGAGGTGGCCCTTGTCGGGCTCCTGTACTTTGAGGCCCCGGGTGGCCTTGGGTTGTAACCGAGCGCTGTGCGGAGGATGCAGGAGGAGCTGGTGGGAGGAGGTGGGGTGTCGCACGAGCCTGAGAGAGGAGGTACTTGCCCGGCAGAGTCTGTGCCCGTGCCCAGTGGAGCGTGCGGCGTAGGAGAGGGGTGCTATAACCTGGGGGGCCACACACAGGTCTGCAGCAGGGAGTTCGGGTGTGGGGTGCGGAGTGCAGAGATAGTACAGGTCTGACTGGGACCCCGGCATCTGGCCCGTACCTTACCCCCTCGTGAGCATTAACTATGGGATTCCCACTCAGAGCCCCAGCCTGCCTGCACTCAGCACGTGAGTGGTCAGGGTTAAATCCGTCCAGTTATCTGCAGTCCCTCTCTTGGAAAGTGGACTCACTCTCCTCGAGGAGAGGAAACAGCCCGGTGTCCAGCAGCCTTCTCCTGCTATTAAAAATTGAAGAGTACAAATGTTCTGTAAGGAAATGACACAGGATGGAGAAGGCGCGGCTGAAGGGCGGTTCGGCCCTGGCTGGAGGCGGGAGCCTGCATTGTTAAAGAAGTGCATAAATAACTGAAAAGTGTGGCACATTCTCAGCGAGCGAACGCGTTCCAACTGTGAGTTGGGTTTTGAATAGAAATGCACTGCATTCCGCGGTTTATCTACGCAAGTGTGTGTTTATCCACAGCCTGCAGGGAGGTGAGATTCTCCAGTGCTGCGGTGTACACGGTGTACACGCGGCCTCTCCCCAAGAGAAACTGGGTGTGGCATTGGATTTTGAAGGAGCAAGCAGTCCTGGGGACCACAAGGGTCTAGGTGCTTCCCAGTGGCTGGAGCAAAGCCTGTGGACCCCTCCCTGGGCGGGCTGGAGGGGCACCTGGGTGTTGTGCCGCATCTGGGCCACCGGCACCCATACGGTGGCAGACACCCCGGTTTCCAGTGGGTTCAGCCAGGTGGCTGGGGTACTGGAGTGCGTGTCAGAGAAGGGGTGTGCTTCGCTGCCCATGGGTGCCATGCTGGGGCTTGGACTTCATCCTTGCTCAGTGGGCCAGAGGCTAGGTGGGTCTGGCTCTGCCCAGAGTGACATACAGTAAAGACATGGTCCCACAATGGATGCTTTGGATGACGACACCATCTAATTCCCCAGGAGCTGCAGCTCCCCTCTGTCACCTCTCATCAGCTCCTCATCCTGCCCCACGGTCCCATTGCCGGCTCGCAGGGCCCCGCGTGTGTGATCCCTGCTCCCAGTGGTGCAGCTGAGGCCCTGTGTGTGCAGAGGATGGAGAACGCATTGGG